CACAGTGCAGTCCATCATCTCACTTCATCTTTTCAGTGGTCATGCAAGATAACAATGGCCTCAGCTTGACAGATGGGAAAGCTGAGACTCAGTGGAGTTCCCAGACCTGACAAGGTCACACAGCTGCAGAGTGGCATGGGTGGCCACAGTTCTGCTTTGCAGACCTCAGCTCTAGGTCCAAATTGGCCCTGCACTGCCACTGATCTGAGTTCTCATCTCTGCATTGACTAAGAGGGTGCCATGCCTGAGTCAGAGAGATCTGCAAGGCTCCAACAGGCTGCAGCTTGTGACTCAGGAGACCCTGCCTGCATGTAGCCAGTGCTGGGCTCAGTTTAAAAGAAAAGCCTAAGGAAATGTGTCTCTTGGGTCAGCTCAAGTGAGAACAACCACAATGCCTCTGCTTGACCTCTACTAGTAGGAAGATTATTTGTCTAATTAGGTAAAGGGCTTTCATGTACATGTCCATTTTTGAAACCTAATGAGCTGTTGACAGGAAAGGTTTGCCCTTAGCTTGGTTCTCTAGCTGATCTTTCCTTTCCTTGGAGGAAAAGACCATAGTAAACACAACCTGGTTTCCATGGAAGCTCACTCTCTGGCTTTTTCTTTCTTGCACTTGAAAAGGTAATGACTTGGTTTTTCTTTATATCTTGGGATGTCACACAGCAGGGCTGTCAGGCGCCTTGGTTGAGGATGGCCTTCTCTGTCAGGCCAGGCTATTTGCAGCAGCTTCGTTCACTTTTCCCTTTTCATCCTACTCTCAGATCATTAGCTGTCAGGTTACAGGGACTGCCTCTGGTCACTGCTGCTAATTAAAGTCACACAGAGCAAAGGGACTCGACCCTGGAGATCATGGGAGATGCTGCAAAGCCAGGGAAACTTGTCAAGAGGTGGATGCCCCGATCACTGGCAGTGCACAGTGTCAGAACAAGAACCCACATCCACACCTGGGAGGAACACCATCCCTGCAGGTGCCTTCTGTCTGAGCCTTTGATGCCCCGTGGTGGCCCTTGTCAGAAATGCAGCCAGCCTGGGATGCTCTAGGAACAACACAAGGAGCAGCAGCCATGTTCCTCTGATTTTGCTGCATGCCCGGCACGGGGCTGAACACTATATCTGTTCTCAGTTAATTCTCGTGACAAGCTTATATAGACTTATCCTGATTATTCAGATGAGAAGACCTGATGCACAGAGATTAAGTGACCTGCCCTAGGTCATGCAGTTACCAAGTAGAAGAGCCAGGGTAAGGACATGTTCACTGCTGCCATTTCTTGGGGACAAATCTGGTGCTGCTACAGCCTCCATGAAGGAAAACAGTCAATCATGGACAAGTGACAGAGTCAACATGTCTGTCCCCTCCCACATCCCCAATAGTGGCCCTATGTTTCAAGTTGACCCCATCTAAAAGGAACACGGTGAGAATGCTGAGGTTGTTAGTTGCCAAGACCAGTCAGGAAACCAAAAGAAGGTGTTTGCAAAGGAAGGAAAAATTATGCAGGGCAAAAGAGTTCCCGTTTGAAGCAGAGCAGACTTGTTTTCCAAGAGCTGGTACCCCTTGACCAGCTCTGTGAATGGGGGCCCATCCTCAACCGTACTGCCACTCCATTGCCTCCTCTTCAGAATGCTCCCTGCTAGGGGCTGGCATTGTGGTGTAGCAGGTAAGGCTGCTGCCTGCAGTGCCAGCATCCTATATGAGTGCCGGTTCAAGTCCCGGCTATTCCACTTCTGATCCAGCTCCCTGTTAGTGCACCTGGGAAGGCAGCGGAAGATGGCCCAAGTGCCTGGACCCCAGCACCCATGTGGGAGAGCTGGAAGAAACTCCTGGCTCCTGGCTTCAGATCAGCCCAGCTCCAGGCATTGCAGCCATTTAGGGAGTGAATGAGCAGATTAAAGATATCTCTCCAACTGTGCCTTTCAAATAGATAAATAAAAATATTTTAAAAAAGAAGAAAGAAAGAAAAGAGAATTGTATTTATATTTAAAAAAATGTTCTCTGCCTCTTGGGGCCAGTATTGCAGCAAAGCAGTGACCTGCCATGTCGGCATCCCATATGAGAGTCAGTTCATGTCCCAGATACTTCATTTCCCATCCATCTCCCTGCTAATGTTGTGGGGAAAGCAGTGGATGATCCAAGTGCTTGGGCCCCTGCCACTCACTTGGGAGAGCCGGATGAAGCTCCTGCCTTTGGCCTTTGGCCCTACACTGGGCATTGTGGCATGAACCAGTTCATTGTGGACATTGTGGGCATTGTGGGCATGAACCCAATGAATTGGTTCATTGGGAATGAACCAGTAGATGGAGGATCTCTCTCTCTACCTCTCTCTTTGTAACTCTTTCAACATGAATAAATGTCTCCTGCCTCATAAAGTTGTTTCACATGTGGAATTTCCCAAATTTCTTTGTGGAAAGTTTGTTTTCATGAAATGTTCTAAAGACAAACTTAAATGCAACTACTAGGAAAAAAAATTTCTGTATTGATTATTGCAAATTTTCATCAGGGACCAGCATTTCTTGACCCCACACAGCCCTTTGTCCTGTGGAAGAATCATATTACCATCTGTTTCTTGGGACCATTTATGAAAGTGTATGAGACAACTCATAAGGTACTTAGTGGTTGATATAGATGTCAACAAGTGTTAATCCCCTCTCCTCTATACCCAAGTTGTTCATATAATCGTATCTATTCTCACAAGGTTTAAGCTCACTCAAGTCAGGAGCTGAGTATGTCTTGTTCTTTTCTGTATTCTAATTTCTTAACGTACCAAGATATTCCATTAAAAAGGCATAAATGAGTTAATGAATGAATGATTGAAACTCAGTTTAGACCTTGCCTGTTCATCTCCATTGTCGACATTTTCGGTGATTGCGGTTACGTTTTGCAAGATCAGATCTCACCAGACTATGAGAAGCTTCGAGTTTTTGGGGTGATGGTCAAGGGGAAGGATCAGGACAGGAAGTCGGGGAGTTGGCTCTGTTGGACTTTTTCCCTTTCCAGTTTCCACTGTTGTAACCAGCCTATCTCTGGCAGAATTTTCAGCATCAGCCCCTAACTGAATCATTTTGCTGCTGCTCACGGAAGCAGCAGGGTGTTTGGTTTGCACATGTATTTTGAATAAGGTGTTTCTGAGTGGCCCAGCTGTGTTTGCACCTGGATCTGAAGAACTCCTGGTCTTACCGCAGAAATAAAAAGAAAGCTGTTCTTTGTAGCTTAAAAACAATGCTGTGGGCCCTGTGTTTCCCACCTGCATCTGTTAGTAAGCAGTGATCAGAATGGACACTGACTAGTGGTATGACTTATGTATTAACCCTTTAATTTAGAACAGATTTTCCAACTGGTGTTCTTTGTGTGCAATATGCAAACAAAAGTACAAATATAAAATAGTTGAGTTGACCAACATCCAACAAGTGTCCTTTCTACAGGACTTCCCAGAGACATGCATTCTGACACAACCTTTCCCCAACCTATCTGAACGTTTGGTGATGTTTCCTGGAAACTGTCTTGGGGAGTCTCTAACGTCATCTCTCAGGGACACACTGCTGCCTCAGAAGCTGCCTGCAGCTGTGTGTTGGAAATCCCACTTTCACGACCAGGAAGTAGTTCCTCTCTTCCAAACAGCGGAAGGAGAAGATGAAGTAACCCGTTGCCTCTTGAATTGAGTAGTGGAATACAAAGGGCACAGCCTCAAGTCATAAGGATCTCTCTGAGTTCTGGAAAATAAACGAAACACTAATATTGACACTTCAATAGTATGGCCATCAATTGTCCGGGATGATTATTTGCGTCATACCAGAAATTACCATTTCATAGCACAGTTAACTACCATTGTTATTTCTTCTTTTTTGTGTTGTTTTGGTAAGCGTGGAGCTTTTAAAAATGACTTTTAGAATAATGGAATGCTGTTTCTCAAGCAGCTTTTTGTTACAATAATCACCAAAGAAAAATAATGCCTGTCCTACTTGAATGCCACTGTTTCTTATTAAAATTTTATATGAATAAAATAAATCATAACTTCCTGAAAAAATAAGATTCCGTTAGAGTTTGAAGGCTCAAGCAAAGCTTACTTGGAAATAGAGAACTTCAATTCATAGACTAGGAATCCTGCCACCTTTTGTAGATACACTTTAATTGGAACACAGTGACTTTGATTCTTTTGCTGTCTATGGTTGTTTTCACAGTGCGGTGGATGACTTAATTCATTGCAAGAAGGATCTTATGGTCTTCCATGCCTGAAGTTTTAATTTGATGATACTTTGCAGAGATATTTACCAATCTCTTTCATAGTTTCATAGAAATATGTGAAAAATAGGAATATTACCTAACTGATCTCTTCATTCTATAGATGGGGAAAAATGAAATCAGAGAAGTTAGAGAATTTTCCAGGTATATTTATACTTGAATGTTCTAATCTTTATGTCTGAGTGGCTGTCATCATCCTGAAAGGCAAGGATAGATTTCACCTTAAATACCAACGCAGCTGACAGGGAAATGGCATCTGGTAAAGATGATTGAGAAGATCTTAGGGCTCATTGAGAAGGAGTACAATGACTCATTAATCTGCCACGTTCCTACAGTGGGACAGCAGTTGGGAAGTGCCATGCGTATGCACTATGTCTACTCCCTACACTTCTAAAAATTATATCACTACCACGTTCTTTGTACATCTGCTATGTAAGCACTTTCTTTATTGGGCCAAAACAGAGGTGTTGCCTTGAGCATGTGTTAGAAATAGTATTGCTTAGCAGTTTGGACGTGATTGATGACTATTGTTCAAGGTCATTCCAATGTCCCTGTTAGTAACTGCTTACCCTGTCATGTTCTGCCTTGAAGAATTTAACTGAATCTCACTCCATTTGGAATTTTTGGTTACAAGAACATTTGTAAAATAGAGTGAAGTAGGTGCACAGAGTTGGGGAGGGTGTAATATGAAAAGTCAGAAATTTGTTGACTCTTTGACCCAAACTGAAAGTCTCCATGTTTTTAATACCTTTGTGCTTTTGTGCAGTTGGACAATCCGGATGAGCAAGCTGCCCAGATTAGACGAGAGCTGGATGGACGTCTCCAAATGGCAGACCAAATAGCCAAGGTAAGACATTGTGAGGATGATTGCTGGGGGCCAGGCCAGAGCCCGACCCTGGAAGCACAGTGTTTATCTAGGGCCTTCAGAAACTAAGCTGAGAAGCAAAGAGGAGGGAATATAAGGATGGTCACCCTAACTGGGTCCTCAGAGGCCAGCTCTCTAGAGGTATCACCTGTATTCATTATGCTCCAATGAACACCCAGACAAAGGCTTTCACCTCTATTCTGAGAGCCTGACTCTCATTTCCAACTGTCTATTGGACATTTATGCTAGGACACTGTCCAGGCATTTCAAGTGGAATGCATTCAGAATCTGCTCCTTATCTCCTTCCTCCCACCCCATACAAACACCCTGCCCTTCTTCCTGTATTCTATTTTATGTTGCTATAGTGGAAGGGTATTCCCCATTGTTAGTTTCTTCTTCCTTCCCTACAACACTCTAAGCCACCCAGTGTTGCTGATTCTGCCTCCTCAACGTGCACTGGAGATTTCTTGACTGCTTTCCAATCCCACTGCTCACGCTTTCCTCTAGCCCTTCATGGTCTGCCTTCATCTGGATGCTAAATGCTGTCCCTGGCTCTGCCCCTTCCACCTCTCCTGTCAATCCTGCACATAGCTGCTGTTCCAAAACTCACATGTGAACTTGTCAAAACAGAGCTTCAAAATTCTCCAGGAGATTCCCTCACTGCCCCCAAATAAGTTCTTGAGAATGGCGTTCAAGGCTCTTCATCAGCAAACCATACCTTTCCTTATTAGCTTCTCCTCTAACAACTTTCCCATGGGGACGTCCCCATCTGGAGACGTTGTCTGGATAGCAGGTGCTCTCCAGGCTCAGAGTCTGTCTCCCCACTTGTATCTCAACCTTAAATGACCTTTCTGCCCTTCTCTGCCTATCAAATTGACCTACTGAGGCTTCAGTGGCTAGCATAAACACCTTCTCTGAGAGCTTAGCAGTGTGTCCTTCTCACCTCTCTGCTCATACCATACTGATCTGGAATTTCACTATGGCACTTCGTTGAATGGTGAGCATTTATTTGCATGTCTCAGTATCCAAGGAGAGAGAAATTCTAAAGGATGGGGATCATTGTTGTTGATGACTATAGCCAAGTGGTAGCTACTGTTAGTGCTGTTGCTATCATTCATATTATTATTAATAGTGGCAATTCTAGGTGTATTTTTTGGACACTGACTCTATATCAAGCACGCTAAAATGTTAGCTCAGTCAATCCTCAGAACAGCCCTCCAAGGCCACTTTAGTTATCAGTCTCATTTTAGACATGAGGAAGTCCAGGCTGTGAGTGATAAGCATCAGCAAGGTGCCCCTCAAGTCTGTTAAATGTCAGGACTAGTATTAGGCTGAGGTGCTTACCTCATGCGCAAAATTTAAAGGACCCTTAGAAAGTCAGCAATCAAAATAAGAGTTTAATAGATTTTTTAATTTTGTTTGTTTACTTATTATCTGGAGCAAAGAGAAAGGGAGAACACTGGACCAGAGCCAAAACCAGCAGCCAGAAACTCAATCAAAGTGTCTCACAGGGTGGTAGGGACCCAAGTAAGTGAGCCATCTCCAGTGTCTCCCAGGGTCCACACAGGCAGGAAGCTGGAGTCAGGAAGTGGAATGTGGTATGCTGACATCTTAACCACCAGGCTAACCACACACCCTGATGACATAGTTTAAGATCATCCCTAATACCACACAATCTATGAAAACAAAATATCACACTTTTCAATACCAACCAGCTTCTCCTGGCTAAAAGAAGAATTCTTCTGCTTGTGGCTACAGCCACAAGCCATGGATGCTTGTGATGGTGGCGTTCTAAGAAGTGACATGGACGATGGGCATGGAGTAGAGCTTAAGGAGCAAACGTTGACTTTGTAGGGAGAAGTGTCTTAGGACTAAGACATGCATAAGGAATTCAGCTGGACAAGAAACCAGTCCAAGAAGCCAGAGCATCCTTCTTTTTGTGCTCATGTGGTTTTACCAAAATATCTTGTGTCTTCTTTGGGCACCTTTAAAATTTGTGGTGAAGTCAGTCTGATGGCTAAAAATGGGATGCAGTTATGGATGTGGCTACAGGTAGTGTAGGAGGCTATTATGTTTTAGAATCTAACTGAATGTAGAGGTAAATATCAGTAAGGCTTCAGAATTCTGTAAGCTCACTGTCTCCTATCAGTGTCTTATCCACAAAATGAAGGTCATTTGGTTCATTCCCACACACACTCGAAAATCAAGCCCATGGCACCTTTGGTTTAGTTGTTTTGTTTAGTTTGGGGTTTAGCGGGATAAGAGAGTAGTGTAGACCAATTGTAATTTTTAAAAGGCCCTGGATAAACAATGAGCATAGAAGCATAGTGAGCCAAGATGCTCATCTCTGAACAGCAGATCAAAGAAGTCTCTCCCAGCCCACACCACCAAGTATTCTGATGCTAAGTAGGAGATTATTAATAACATAGAACCGAACTTGCTTACTTAATGAAATAGAAAAGTGAAGTGAATATTAGTTGTCATTTACAGAGGATGGAGAAGAATTTAAGAACATACAGATGGTCCCCCAAAAATAAGAGTATTGAGGGTTTTAGAGACAACCTGCTCACCGCTATATCCCATTGTTTGTTCTTCTGCAATGCTTACTTATGCCAGATGTACCCTTGCGACAGCAAGTTGGTTGTACAGTGAGCTCTTCAACCTAGGAGAATTAATAAAAATTCCCTGCCCAGTATGGCCATAGCAATTGATTCAGAAATACACACTTGATTCATATTAAACCAGTGAGACCATTCTCTGAGACCCATGTACTATAGGCCAGAATTACTGTGTCTTTTAGTGATAAAGAGATTTCAGCAGCCATTTTCAGTTCTTCCATGTAAGGAAAAGATGAAAGAATAAAACGAACACACAGAGAAAAAATAGAGACAGAGAATCATCTGAGGCAAGGAGTTCTCAAAATATTAAGATATGATTGTGGTCATTCATTCATTTATCTGAGAGTCAGAGACAGATAGAGAGCTCCCAGCCACTAGTTCACTTCCCAAATGCCTACAATAGCCAGAACTGGCCTGGGGCAAAGCCAGGACCTAGGAACTCATAAAGGTTTCCCACATGGGTAGCACTGACCACCTACTTGAGCCATGATCACTACACAAGAGTCTGCATTGGTAGGAAGCTGGAGTCAGGAGCCAGAGCCAGGAATCAAACCCAGATACCCTGATGTGGGACATGGTGGCTCACCCACTAGGCTAAACAACCACTTCAGTGTATTTCTTCATCTTCTGCAATGTAACTACTTTTCTCTTGGCTTAATGGATTCCAAGAAAAATAAATTCTCCCTTTGGCTAAACTGAGGAAAATGGCAAAGTATCTCATTCACCAAAAATTAGATCTCAAGGTCTCAGATATGATCTATTTCATGAAGAGATATTGAAACAAAGCACCTCTGCTTATCTTCTTTTAGCATGCCCTGATTTTTCTATTTCCAGCATCTCAGTGAATTTTAGTGAGGATGTGCAATTCAACCCATATGGCTGAACGTCATCTCCTGTAAATATCATAACCACAAGTTCTTGGATGTAGATGTCACCCATCACATAGAATTCACTCTGTTCCCTGAGTTGAAAGATGGTCTAAGCACTTCTGATTGCAAGTGAGAGGCACCCACTTAACGATGCTTATGTAAAAAAAAAAAGTGGGGAATAAGGAGGTGTTTCTAGGGATGAAGGCATAGAAGAGCCAGAACCCAAGAAAGAACTCAAACCAAGGCCCACAAAGAGGCCAGGAATTTTTCTCCATCTCTCATCTCTGTGTCATGGGTGTTGCCCTTTGTTTTGCTGCAAGCCAGCTTTCTTTGCTTCTCCGGGAGGATGCATGGCTGCCCCACAGTGCTCTGTGTTTTTGCTTTGGCCAAATAGAGAATTATTAAGCCAAGCAGTCTCCCTCTCAGATCTTTCTGTTTCTCTTCCCTGTTTTCTCTCCTCATCCCTCAAGTTCTGAATTCCAAGAATCTGGCCTCTGATCGGCCCAATTGGGTTCAAGAGCCAAATCCTGGTGCATTCAACCAATCTACTGTGGGGTACAAGAGAGAGTATAGTTGAATACACAGATGGTGGTGATGCATCATTTGGGTGAGAGTGGCAAGAGGCATGGCTATGCATGGAATGGTCATTATGAATTAGGAAATACCTCAGATATACCCAGCACTGATAGCTATCATTTATATACCATTTATTTTGTGCCACACTCACTTCGAACCATTTGGCATTTGATAATCTATTGAATGCTGCACCCATTTTATGAGAGAGGTGCTATCATTACCCCAATTTCATAAACAAGGAGGCAAATGCAGATATCAGAGGACTTGACTAATGTCATTCAAAGAACAGAATATGAACTCTTAATCACTATGCTTGCTACCGTTAAGGAACACTTTCACAAGTGCAGCAAATGCAGAACCTCAGTTTCCTCATCACCATAACATGAGGATCCAATACGCCTTTCACCCAGGCTATCATCTTACCTCATTCCCACCAATTATCTATCTAACTAACTAACTAACTAACTAACTATCTATCTATCTATCTATCTCCCCTATCTCTCCCTAACAGTACTTTCTTAACTGTGTCAGACACAGGCTCACATTGAGACCCGTGAAAGACAATCCTTGGAGGTACAGTAATTGTTCCTCAGTGGAGGCAAATCAAGTACATTAAGTGATATGCCCTAGTTCGCTCAGCTAGTAATCAGAAAGCTAAGTCCTGTAATTCCAACTTTCATGCCATTTCTTTTAGTTATCAGGGGAGAGGCAAGAAATTATTCCATGCAGGGCTACCACCCTATTTCTCTCTTCCCTCTCTCTCTGGAAAACTAATTCCTTTCTTCTACTAAAACTTGTGGTGCATTCCATTCAGTTTATCCAGAAGCCCAAAAGAAACCCCAATGATGGGCAAAACTGGCTTCTTGACTTCAGAATGCCTTCTACTCTGTGTTTTTGTAATCTGGAAAAAGGTTGTTGT